CACATAGATGTACAATCAATTCTATCATTAATGACACACAGTTACTTTCTATGCATCATCTCCATACACACTTTACATACTTTTTATTTCTCCTCCAATGCTTGTACCATAAGCAGGATTAGCAGATACCTCAGTATTGCCTTCTGTGTATTGATTTTATTCTTTATTTTTATTCATAGTATACTTTTTACTTTCTTGTCCCGGAGTTACTCCATAAGCAGGATTAGTAGATGCTGATAATATAATCTGTTCTTCATCCATAATTGGTACTACAAAATTGATTTTCATTGTTAGTTTACATGTGCACTTAACTGAACATTACCATATGATTGTTGATCTAAATTAGTTTTCATTTCATCAGAACTGAAAGTATCACTTCTATTTGATGTTTTGTACAATATTCTCCTACACACTAATACACTCACTATTAATATTACTAGTATAGTAACTACCAGTAATATAAATACTGCTGTACTAATACTTCCTGATATTATTAGTGTATTACTGTCTGTACTTTGTAATGTACTAACTGGTGTACTCATCACTGATGTAGTACCTATAGTCAATGATAAACTGTTACTTGATATTGAATTAGTTTCAGTATATTCCATTGATTCCATTGTTACAGTAGCTGTGGAGTATATGCTTGATGATGAAAGCACAGTAGTGACAGTATTAATATGTGTACTACTGATTGTTGAAGTAGCTGTATTTGTGAAAGGCTCTATATAAGTTTGGAAATAAATTTACTATCTACCTAATAAAATCTTACCTACTACAACTGAGATGGGTGGATAGTCATTGTTACCTAATGCAATTAACTCATTGTTGTCCCCCAGTCTGTAATTGTGTGGTCCATTGTATTGTTGATAGAACATATAATTTGTAGCATTACTTTCAATCATCAGTATATCACCAGGTTGTACTGTTATCTCATTGCTCATGGTAAAGTTATATAAATATTGACCTAGGTTAACAGCATTACTAGCACTAGTGTTCAATGTTGCTGCTGTAGTAGTGAGATTATTTGAATGTCTTATTTTAATTACTGGCATAACTTGTGTAGGAGCAATAACTATCCAGTTAGTAATAATACCATGACATGTGATCCTTATATCAGGAAATATTCTAGTATCAGAAACATAATATGAATTAGTAATGGCATAACTTAATGAATTGATTATGTTATCAGGTACAAATTGTGGAAAGCAACCTAAATTAATAGAAATAATAATACTCAGTAATGAATGATTTATTACATAGTTTACTTAAATTTTGTACTATTGGATGCATTAGTATTCTCCATGATTTGTGATCAACATCTCTACCCATTCCTGATATCTTAATGTTAGTATCATTAATCTTATCTGATTGCATTTTTCCTGTTCCATCAATATCACTACGCAGGTTCATATAATGAAAACTAACAACACTTCTGCCATCAGGAGGTTGATATACACCAATCCTGTATCCACTAGAGACACTTAATGGAGTAGGGAGAGTGAAACGATACTGTCCATTAGTTGTAAAGTTATCAGGAGTCAGTCTGATTTCAATAGACATTACTCTAGTGTACTCATCATCATCATTACTTGGAGCCCATACTTCAAATTTTGGATATAAATTTATACCAATTTTGTCATTAACTGTTCTTATATCAACTCCAATCAATATTTCTGTTATAACTGTAGCACAAGTGAACATGATGTCTCTGTTCATGGAGTAGTTTTCATCTTGATCCTCAATGATGATCCACCTTGTTGCTGCAGTGTTTTCAGTTAGTCTGTTATTATGTAGCATTCCTGATGGACTTGTTGCTTTACCCATTAGAAGACTATAATCCATAAATCCTTCAGTACAAGACTCTCCATTAACCTCCAGTAATATTCCATTACTCATGAAGCACAGCAGTATTACTAATAGAAGATAGGAAGACATCATCTTCAACAGAGCTAGCCTAGGTGTATGAGCAGAGATAATAAAGTTGTGTGGGCTTGAATGTGAGGCTATTACTATAGATCTAAACATTTCAATGACCCACTGAACTGAATTTGTGTGGGGGGTTACTATGGAATGACAGGAAATACTGTAATATCAACAAAGCAGTGTAAAATTTCTTTTCAGTTTGAAGCTTCAATGAATATTCCTTATGAGTATTCCTTATGAGTGTTGGCAGTCATTCAAGTGAAATCATGATGTAGCAACTGTCTCTAATATGACATAGCTGATGATATTAGATTTATTAGTTGATAGACACTCGTAATACTATTAATGAAATTTTATCTACAAAATTAATGGCAGTTTTTATGTTAAAAATATTATTATTATTATTATTATTATTGTTGTTCCTGTTAGATGTACAGTTCTTCTTCTTTCAGTTGTTCATGTGTCTCATCTATTGTCATGTACTACCAAATGTAAATTTATATAATAGTCACACTTGATTACAATAAGATACTCTTAAGTGTGTGTAT